TTTACAAATCACTGTATAGTTTTAATGAGCAAAACATTGTGCAAGATAATTGTTTTAATATTTAACATCCAGGCTACATCTTTGAACTGTCAGTTACATCACATTTAAATGACATTAACCATTTGAGAGTCACAGTGTCATACCACCCCCATCAACATAGAGCATGATATATATAAGACAAAGGTAAATCTAGAACAGTTCACAGGAGAGCAAAACACAGGCTGATGTCTAGTGGGATGGGTTGTTTTTTTCTGCCAACCCTCTAATCCTTGGTTGTGTTTTTTGCTATATAATTTTTATTTTAGATCCATTCAAAAATATAACAATGATGTACAGAGAGGGTCTTTTTAGCATAACCTTGAACACCACATTTGTTCGACCTACAAAGTTTTATCTTGCTGGGTTTTACAACATCCCTCATGTTAAGTATTACTTTGTCTTCTTGTGCTTTGTCTACATCATGACTGTGCTTGGCAATGGTTTTCTTCTATCTGTTATCTACCTTGTTAAGACCCTCCATACTCCCAAATACATAATAGTGTTTAACTTGGCTTTTACAGACCTCTGTGGGAGCACAGCTCTTATCCCAAAACTCTTGGACACGTTTTTATTTGACAGGAGGTACATTGTTTATGAGGCTTGTTTAACTTACATGTTCTTTGTCTTATTATTTGGAAGTATTCAATCATGGACCCTTGTCACAATGGCATATGACAGATTAATAGCAATTTGCTTTCCATTAAGATATCACAGCATTATAACCACAAAATCTGTTGTTGCAATGCTGCTGAGTTCTTGGATTGTTATGCTCTGTGTCAACGCAGTATTGGCTGGGTTTATTAATCGCCTCTCTTTCTGTGCATCTGTAGAAATTAAAACCTTCTTCTGTGATCATGGACCTATATATCAACTGGCCTGTAATGATACATCTTACAGCTATATGATGGCTGCTGTTGGCCTGATTTTAGTCATCTGCATTCCTCTTATTCTGATATCTGGCTCTTATGCTTGCATTTCTGTCGCTCTGGCAAGAACTGTTTCGAGAGAAGAACGACTGAGAGCTCTAAAAACATGTGTTTCTCACCTGATTCTCGTTGCTCTTTTTTTCTTACCTTTTGTTGGAACCAATATAGCTGTCCTGACTTCTTATATTCATCCAAATGCAAGGAACATAAACTCAAGTTTAACATACACTGTTCCACCTTTGCTTAATCCTATTATTTACTCTTTGAAGACAGAAGAAGTAAGGAATGCTATTAAGAGGCTTTGTAGAAGAAGCAAACTAAACAAAACAGCCATTAAATCAGAAGCTCTGTGACATTATTTGATTCATTTAGTTAACCTTTCAGAATTGTATATAATGTTGTTTCTGTCAGGTATTTGGGATTTCTGTAATAAAACCCACTAACATTGGTTACTTTCTGTTATTCAGTTGTTTTTTATGTGACTTTGACTCTGTGGTCATTATCTTGCGTAAGCTAAGTTATTTCGAGCAAAGTCATCATTGTCTAACTGACCACTCAACGCTCCTTACACTATAGCCACAGTCACCCAATTGCACAGACAGATTTCCACAGGCAGCTTTTGAAACTGAATCTATAGGTCTCAGATGGAAAGTATCCATGTGGGCCACAGTTGCAGCTGTCTCTGCTTCATGTTCAAAACAAGAATAAATTTGTTGAATTCCTAGAAATGTTGTATGCATAAACCAGTGTAATCAATATTTTTGTGATTATTTGATAACAGAACCTCTGCAGCAGCTTTAAGCCTGATTACCTTATTTGTACACATTTGAGTTTTGTCTTCTCTATTAGAAAAAAAAGGTTGTTCTAATGGTTATCTTTGCTAACATAAAACACACTTTTGATTATCGTTTGAACATTTGCTTAGTTATTTTTTAACATTTTTGTTTGAGTATGTTGCAGGGCAGTTTAAACATGTACCAATAGTTTCATCTCGTTTTCCTCCATTAAATCCAGCCACGAAGCAAAATAAAACGGTAGTGTTGGTGTGAAACGCATAAACATAAATCAAATATTTAGAAGGGCAGCAATAGCTCTTTGACTAAACTCAAAGGCCATTTTCACATTTCAGATTCTTTATTTTTTTGTGATGAAATGTGAAAGTCACTTTTTATTTTTCAGTTATAAAAATAAACAATTTGAATTGACAAAAGTACTTAGACCTTAGCTTTTAGAGCTTTTTTTTAACTCTTTCTTTAACAATGCTGAATGTTAACACATTTTTTTATTATCAATTAAACCCGTGAATATAATAAAAGAGAGTAAAAGTAAATCTGCTTAGACACAAACTTGGCACAAAAAACAACCAATATTTTAAAAAAATAACAGTCCCAAAGCTTAGCAATAAATTAAATAAAGTGACTTAAATGAGTAAGAAGAAAAAAAAAAAAGAAAGAAAAAGATATATATATATTAAAAAAGTTTAGCAAAAGTGTAAGCAAAATGTGTCTTTTGAGGAAACCTCACTTGCATCCTCTTGGATGTAGAGTTCTTTTTTTGCAAAGCCATTGCAATTTCTCATTAATTTATTTTCAGAGTTGCTGCATTTTAAGGGCAGTTTTTTTTAACATATTTTTCTTGACAGCTTTTAAGGGATTTCTTCTTCATTATCTACAGCAGTATTGAAAACGAGGAACTTTATAAAAAGAGAATTTTATAAAAAGCTTCTTCTTCTTGAAATAGCCACAATATCATGACCTCTGTGACATATCAGTTGTCTTCAACTAATCTATATATAACAAGCAGACTTAGATTGGAAGCCAACGGACATACAGAAGTAGCCATTCAAAGTTTCCCAACTTTCCTTAGTGTGATCTTGGCTGCTCTTTGGTTGGTCGCCTAAAATTCCTTTTTAAACATCAATCTTTTTACTAAAACATTCACCTTTCTGTCATGATTTGTGGATATTAATATCTAAAGAGGAAGAAAATGACAGCAATATACACCTTAAAGATCGATGGAGATCTTTACAGCCCCTGAAAAAATCCACTAAGCCAGAAAATGGGCAATGTAGGGAGTCTAGTTCCTTGCTATGATGACCATTGTGGATGATGCACAGGCAGTAGCAACTGAGCGGCCTACCTTCCCACCATATCGGAAGAAAGTAAAGCCGGACCTTGTAGAGATCAAACCCACCAGGGTAAAGACTCTGACCACCCAATTGAGAGAGGAGATCTTTCGTGGAGGGGAGGTGTATCTACTAGCCTAAGAAGAGCCGGTGCAGCAGAGGAAACCTGGCCAAATTGAGAGCTCTCCAGGAGAGGCACAAAAACAAATTAAGCTATAATTAAGGCATAAAAAGCTCCCCTCTCTATGCCTGGGTGGTCAGGTCACCCTCAACCCAAGTAGGATGGATCCATTGCACAGCCTCCTTCGGGCACAGGAGAAGGTTGAGTAGAGCCTCTGCTGTAAGATGTGGCCTATCCTGCCACTGGGACAAGGACTGGAGGCACTGAGGCACGGTTATAAGTGGCCTGTGTCTGTGTGCAGGCTGTGTGGGATCCAGATGCATGACGTTCAGCCACAGTTGAAGAAGCCGGAACGAGAGTAGTACTGGAGACACCATACTGGACACAGCAGTAAGGATACCTAGAAAGTGTAGGTACAGGGTAAGGGGAGGAGCCCTTTATCTCAAACATTGTGTGGTTACTAGCGTGAGAACGACAGGGGATAATAATTTAGGGAGGTGAGGTTTTGTTTTTCTGGGCACAGGAACAATGATTGACAGTTGTACATAGGCACTTTGCCCACCACCAGTAGGTGATTTGGGCAAAGTGTCTTAAGGACACAACAACTTATGCTGACAGTGCTTGGGTTTGTACTGGCTATGTGTTAAAGAGTGCTGAAGACCAAGTGGCACACTCACACTGACCCCAACTGAAATGAGAAGAAACAAATCAGCAGAAATAAATTGTTTTACTTCATCTACACAAATAATTTGTTAATTTAAATAAATCAGTCAAGAATAACACAATACCACTCAGTATGGAGTAAAAGCCTTACTGTTGCTCTTACAGTGATGTGGGTAAAACAGGCTGTCTTTGTTAACCTTTTACAGCTGAAAGTGATGTATGTGACAAACTTTTATCAGAGCATTATCAAAGATAAGTAGGTGTTTACAAAAAGCCTCTCACTGAAATAATTTCAGCCAAAGGAGTTAACACAAGACAACAGGGTTTCCTGACCTTTTTGGTAGTGAATGAAAAACGGTTGATTTCTGTTTTTTAATTACTTTCGTTTGCATGGTTAGGAAAAAGAGACTATACGTAAATAGGTGAACTTTTCCCAAAAACATTTTTATTATCTTTTCTTTTATTAGTGAGTGCTGGGATCTGGAGGTCTGTCCACTTTCTCCACCAGAGGGCGTACGAGATCTCCTGGAGCCGGGGCTGATTGCACCACCTGTTCCTCATCTGCTCAGCAGGAGATCCGTACTTAAGGAGGCGGAGGGCTTCACTCCAGTGCCAGAGTGTTTGCCAGTAACGGTTAGCAAGCCTGAGCCAACCAGCCTGTCTGTAACTTTGACCCCCTGAGATCTGAACCTGATCTGTTTTCTCTCCTCTCTGCCCCTCAGATTGAACCTGCCTGACACCTGAAACTCTGGAGAGTTTTCTCTGCTGGTAATCTGCCTGTCCGTTCTCAGAAGTTCTCTGGAGAACAGTTTCTGTCAAATATCTGCCTGCCCGCTCTCAGAAGATAACCGGAAACTCAATCAGTGATCTGCCTGCACTCAGTAAGCTCTGC